CTTAATTTTTTCTATATATTTTTAGTTGTCAGCTAATTTCTTTCTATTTTAGTAGAGACGGGTCTTGCTCTTGCTCAGGCTGGTCTTGAACTCCTGACCTTGAGTGATCCTCCCGCCTCAGCCCCCAGAGTGTTAGGATTACAGGTGTGAGCTACCACACCCAGCTTGTACATATTTTTTTTTTTCAAAAATAAGCTCATACTTGTCTGTCCCCAGGGCACCTTCTGGGCTCTTGCTGCTGTCGCAGAGGTGGCCACTGCAGCCAGCGGGGCTGCAGAACCTTGTAGACTTGTAGAATTTCAAAGCTTGGAAGGATCTCAGAGATCAACCCTCTTGTCTTACAGATGGGGAAGTTGAGGCTAGAACAGGATGCAACTTGACCTGTGTCACAGGTTTTCAGATCTGCTGCTCCTTCGAAGGGTGGAGCCGGTGGCAGGGAAATGCCACCTTCGAGGTGATAGACTGAGCAAGGGACCTCCTCCCTCTGAGGGCTGTGTGCTGACCTTCAAGTGTCCTGGAAGCGTCTCTCCTCCCTCTCGTCCCATCCTTGTCCCTCTCCGTATCTGCGCTCACGTTCCTGTGTGTTTTTAGGGTGCTGTTCTTGCCGAGCGGGTGAACTGGGTCGGCTGCCAGGGGAGTGAGCCGCATTTCCGTGGCTTTCCCTGCTCCCTGTGGCTCCTCTTCCACGTCCTGACCGTGCAGGCAGCTCGGCACAAGGCGGACCCTCCGCAGGAGGCAGGTGAGTCTCGGCCATACACGCCACGCCTCAGACCCTGCCCTGTTCTGCCCTCCACAGGACAAGGGAACAGGGCAACTCCCCGGGACGGACCCCCTGGCTCCCTGCTGCTGGTCACAGGGTAGAGACAGGCTCTGGGCTCCCTCCCGCGGATGTCTGCATGGGCAGCTGGCCACACGCGGCCAGCAAGGGACCAATCCCAGAAGGGGGAGGACTCGGAGAATGCACTGGATCCCATCCTCTGCCTCTGGGCTGGCGCCCCTCACACTCTGGGGCATGAGCCTCTCCCGGCTTCCTCAGCACTTGCAGCTTGCTTTGTTTTCAGTCTTTGTGAAAAATTCGTGATTCTATTTTTATATTCTTATAAAGAAAACAAAACTGACATAGATGAGACCATGCACTTTGAATAATTGTATTGCATTTCCGATCAGAGAATAATTTTCTAGGAGAAGTTGGGGAAACATTTTCCCTGCTACCCAGTTCCCTCCCCAAACTGCGCAGCTGTGCTCTGCCACCCACGCTGTCCACGCCTGCTCTTAGCCACTGAAGGCACGGGTGTCCCATCAGTCCCTGTGCCGAGGAGCCAGGCTCATGCCAGGCCCTGGCTCAGCTTGGAGGGTAGATACAAGGTGCAGAAGGGGCAGTGTGCACTTTCAGTGGCCGTCCCACGTGAGGCAGGGTGAGGGTGGGCAGAGAGCTCCCTGCAGCGCCCAGGCCTGAGGGCCACTTGGAAAGAAAGACGTTCCCGCCAATAGAGGGCGTGCTCCGTGCTATTGGGAAGGGCACGGGGCTTCCCAGGGGCTGGGCTGAGAGGTGCTGGGGAAACTGGGATTCAGAGAGGAAGAGGAGTGTCCCCGCCAGGGGGAGCAGCCTGCACGAAGGCAGAGTGAGTCAGAGCAGCTGCCAGCTGTCGGGGAAGCTCCAGTTGCTGGTGTGACCAGGTGACCCTAAGGTGCCCGGATGCAGCAGTGCCTGAGACACAAGGTCCTGCCTCCAGGGCCCTTGCTCCAGGGGCAGGAGACAGACAGCAAACACACGGATCGCTCCAGGCATGAGGATGAGTGCCGTGGGGGACTGTCTAGAGCGGTGGGGAAGGCTTCTCTGAGATCCTTGCAGGGAGAAAAGGCAGCCTGGGACACCCGGACAGAGAACCTTCCAGGCTCCATCAGTGTGCTGCAGCTGCCGTGATGCAGAACACAGGCTGGGGACTCAGGCACCAGACAGTCACCACCTCTCAGCTCTGGAGCCCAAAGTGCAAGGTCTAGGTGTCAGCAGGGCTGGTTTCCTCCGAGGCTCTCTCCTGGCTGGTAGATGCCACCTTCCCTCTGTGTCTTCCTGTGGCTGTCCCTCTCCCCGTCTGTGTCCAAAGTTCCTTGTCTTGCAAGGACACCAGACATATTGGATTAGGGCCCACCCTGATGACCTCATTTTGCCTTCATAACCTCTGTAAAGACCCTGCCTCCAAACACAGCCACATTACAAGGTACTAGGGCTTAGGACTTCAACATGCCAATTTTGGAGGACACGATTCGGCCCGTAACACAGGCCAGGGACCAGCGGTGCCGATGGCAAGTCCTAGGGAAGGCTGGTGTGGCCGAGCCTGGGAGGGAGGGAGAGGAGGCCTAGGGGCGGGGGTTGTGTGATGAGAAACCACTGGTGAGTTTAACGGGGGAGTGATGCAGACAACCAGCACTTTACAACAGTTGCTGGCTGCTAGGTGGACAGTGGGCCCTGGCGGGACAAGGGGACAGGGTGGCCAGTTAGGAAGTTGTGCAAATGGCCCTGGAGTGATGGCGGACTAGAGTTTTGGGGGGCCCGTGGAGGAAGTGGTCAGGTTTGGGGGTATTTGGAAAGCAGAGCTGGTGGGACTCCATGGCGGACTGCAGGAAGAGTGTGTGGGAGCCAGGGCGCGGCAGGCTCCAGGGTCTCGGGGCCTGTGGTCTGGGGCACGGTGGTCCTGCGAGCTGAGCAGTGGGAAGGCTCGAGGGGAGGGGGGAGTCAGTGGTCTGTTTCGTGCCTCCTGGACACGCAGATGGAGATGTGCACATTCGGTCTGGCTTCTGGGGAGAGGCGTAGGATAAGAGGTCAACTTTGAGGTCACTGGCATGTAGATTACAGTTCAAGCCACGGCACTGGATGAGCTCCCTAGTGGGGAGGTAGAAAAGAGCACTGAGGACTGAGCTCTGGGGTGCCGCAGCATCCAGACCACTGCAAGGAGACAGAAGGAGCAGCCACTGTGGTTTCCACGGGGCCCCAAAGTAGAGTCGCAGCGGGGTGTGGTGCTGGAGGTGGCACAAGATGGAGACGCCTCTGCGAGAGCCGTTTCAGTGGGCGATGGGGCCACGGCCGGGCTGGATTGGGCCGAGGAGAGAGGAGGAGGCAAGATGGTGGAGACAGTGGGCAGGACCGGGGTGTAACTGGTCAGAGAGGGCATTTCTTTATCCTAACTGAATAATCTGCTATCTAAGGGAGACACTGATGGTGCAGTAAAGAAAGAAAGCATCCGCAGGAGTAACGTTCTCGGGGAGGCGAGAAGGGGTGAGGCCCGCCCCAGCAGGTGGCAGGTGCGGCCTCGTGGTGGGGAGGTGGTACCCGGGCTGGGGCAGGTGTGGGCACTAACCTCGCCAGGAGCGACATCGAGCGGAGTGCTGAGGTCCCTGCGGATGGCGGGGCGAGAGCAGGAGACTGACCGCTAAGGGGCTTTGCAGCGGGAGGGAGAGAGTTTGGAAGCCCCGGCAGCAGCCCTGAGGCACCCGGAGCAGGGCGGAGAGGAGGGTTCAGGAGGGGTGTGTTTGGGGAGGGTCGTGTCTTCAGGGGCAGGTAACAGGCCTTGGCTGCTGCCGAGGGGAGACGGAGAAGATCGGGGCACGCAGGCCAGATTAGCAAGGACTCAGAAGCCCGAGGCCACTGGTCGCAGGGAAGCCTGAAGCAGGCAGGCAGAGGAGTGGCAGGCTGGGGCCAGGTGCTCTCCTGCCATGTCGCAAGGAGCCTGAGCGTCTTGCTGAAGAGTGTGGACTTTGTCCTGGGTGTGTGACAAGCACGGAGATGAGTGGCAGAGAAGGAGAACTGGGTTTAGGAGTTTGGGGGGAGATGGGGCCACCTCCAAAGCAACCCCGGCAGGCAGAGAAGCAGGCAAGGGGACGCTGGACCTCTCCTTGCATGGGCTGGGGTGTGGGGCACCCGTAGGGGTGACTGCGGTGGGGCTGGGGAGGACCAGGTGGCCTGTGGAGGGAACGGAGGTGGGGTCGGCAGGGGCAGGTGGCCTGAAGGTGCGTGGCGTCTCCTCTCCCCTGCAGCCCAGGCCCAGGAGGTCCTCCAGGCCATCCGGGGCTACGTCCGCTCCTTCTTTGGCTGCCGGGACTGCGCTGACCACTTCGAGCAGATGGCTGCTGCCTCCATGCACCGGGTGGGGAGTCTGGATGACGCCGTCCTCTGGTTCTGGTCTTCCCACAACAAGGCCAATGCTCGCCTAGCAGGTAAGGAAGGGCCACCTCCAAGGCTGGAGTCACCTACAGGGCACGGGGCGGTGAGGGAACTTCGGGGTCTTGGGCCAGAGGTGAGGGAAGGGCACTCAATGTCTCATTAGTAATATCCCAGCCCTGTTAAACAAGCCAGAATCATTAGACCCCTTTTCTAGATGAGGGAACTGAGGCTTTGATACGTGAAGTCCCTGGTGTCCAATGCCATTGCTCACTCCTCTGCCTGCACCAGGGCCTCCCCCGGCCTCACCCTGCTCTGGCTTGTTGGGGTCCCTGCCCTGCTCTGCTGCTTGGCTGTTGGCCCCTTACTCAAACCACTAGGGAGGAGAGAGCTGGGATCCCCGCCCCCCAGCCCCTGGAAGGGTCTAATGACAGAACGCACTGGAAGAGAGGACCAGTCCTCCTGGAAATACCAGGGACTATGATTCCCCTGGGGTGGGGGGGCAGGCCCTGTCTTCTGCCCACCCTCCCTGACAGTGTGCTCTTTTCCCCACTCGCAGGAGTCTCATGGGCCCAACAGGCAAAAGCATCAAACTCCAGGGACAGGGGGTGGGAAGGAGCCATCTGTGGACAGGAGGAGGCTTGTCTGAGGGGAGGGGCGCGCACAGGCCCCCAGGGGTGGGGGCTGGGCGGGGCCAGGGTGAAAGGAGCTAAACGGAGCAGGTGGCGGTTCAGCGCCCCGCACTTGGTCCTGGTCTCCCGGGACCTCCTTGTGGACTTTGAAAAGAAGACACGTGCCTGTCTTTTCCTCCTGCCCTCCCCCCATGCCCCCGCCCTGCCCTGCCACCAAATGCTCCATGTGACCCTCCAGCCCTATGACCTCGGCAGGCTCCCAGCTGCCGCTGGAGGGCCAGGAGCTGGGGCGTCCCTCCCAGGGCCATAAGCAAACAAGCAAGGCAGTGCCCTTCTCTCCCTGGTGGGGGCCTTTTAGAGCAAACCAATAGTTAGCAGGTACTAATCTAGTGCTCACTTTGTGAGGCCTGGCTCTTGGAATCTACTTGTTGTCCACTCCCCACAATAACCATCCTGACTTCTGTGTCACTCGCTGCTGCTGCTGCTGCTGCTGCCGCCTCGTGGTCAACATCTTCTTTCCCCTATTAAACCTTTAGAAGGGGCGCTTCCTACGAGAGGGATGGGTGGGCTGGCTGGTGTTCCCTGGCTGGCCTGGGGCTCTGCCTAGAGCTGGCCCAGCCACTTTCGGACCCCCAGAGTGTCCCCAGGCCTCCCCACACCCACCTCTTGGGGCCCACCCCTACCTCCCGCCTACCCCAGAGAGCTGCAGTTGGCTTGAGGAGGATACCTGTGAATTACCACGCGTAGCCAGTGCTTGTTTTAAAAACCATTTTCCCCTATTCTTGTAACCCTAGCACTCTGGTAGGCCAAGGTGGGAGGATCATTTGAGCTCAGGAGTTCAAGACCAGCCTAAGCAAGAGCGAGATCCCATCTCTACTAAAATTAGAAAGAAATTAACTGGACAACTAAAAATATATAGAAAAAATTAGCCGAGCATGGTGGCGCATGCTTGTAGTCCCAGCTACATGGGAGGCTGAGGCAGGAGAATCGCTGGAGCCCAGGAGTTGGAGGTTGCTGTGAGCTAGGCTGACGCCACAGCACTCTAGCCCAGGTAACAAAGTGAGACTCGGTCTCAATAAAAAACAACCATTTTCCCTTTGCTCAACAAAAGTAATATATTTTCACTGTATAAAATTTAGGAAAATTCAGAAAAATGCAAAACGACAACACTAGCAGACCATCCATTTTGCCAATAGATGGCAAAACAGACTGTTCTCCTCGCCCTTTCCCGTGTCTGGTCCCAGGGAACAGCAAAGCAGGACACCAGGCAGTGACTGGGAAACTGTAGAGTGCTGGGGGCTGCAGGTGGAGAGAATCCTTTTATGCAGCGCCCCCATCTGTTGAACCCCCGCCGTGGCTGGTCTTTCACCTGTGCTTTCCCATGTCCCGTGCACTTCCCTCTGCAGGCGCCCCCAGCGAGGACCCCCACTTCCCCAAGGTGCAGTGGCCGCCCCGAGAACTCTGCTCGGCCTGCCACAACGAGCTGACGGGGCCACCCGTGTGGGATGTGGCCGCCACCCTCAGCTTCCTCAAGGCCCACTTCTCCCCAAGCAACATCGTCCTGGACGCCCCTCTGGCCGGGCCGGCCCCCCGGAGTGGCACGCAGAACCTGGCAGCCAGCCCAAAGCTGGCGATGGAAGCCCTGGAGCTGGAGACTGGGAATTCAACTCTGGGCCCTGACAAGGCTGAGGCGGCCACGTCCCCGGGAGCCACCGTCCCAGATGTCCCCGCTGCCGAGAGACCTGAGGCCAGTCGCACCCCGGAGCTGCACGCCAGCTCGGAGGGGCAGCGTGCGCCCGAGTCCAGGGCAGAGCTGTGGAGGGGTGAGGAGCAGGGGCAGCCGCCGGAGCTGCGGCACCTGAGCAAGCGAGACGCAGGGGCTGCATCGCTGGCCGAGCTGGGGCCCGAGAAGAGCGGCCCCGGGGGCCCTGGAGGGCCGAGGAGGATAGGCCGCAGCTCCAAGCAGCTGGCGGACGTCGCTGCCTGGGAGCTGGAGGCCCGAGCACCGCAGGGCCGCGGCCCGTGGCTGCAGGTGCTGGGAGGGGGCTTCTCCCACCTGGACGTCGGCCTCTGTGTGGGGCTCTACGCCCTTTCCTTCGTGGCCCTGCTGGGCTTGTACACCTTCTTCCGGGCCAAGATGAGGGCCTCGAAGGGCCCTGCTGGCCACCCTGCAGCCTGAACCGCTCGGCTAGGGAGGGGCTGGAGCAGGAGCTGCCACCCACGGGGCTCTTCCAGCGCCCTCCCCTGCCCTCCCCTCCCACCCCTTGCTCCTGCCCAGCCTAGAAGGGTGGGAAACCCAGGAAAACCAGTGGCTCCAGTGAACCGTCTTGGGTCTGTTGGGACGGAGAGTCCCATAGACACTCAAGATAGGAACAGGGTCCAGTTCGTCTGACAGCACTGAGCAGGGCAGCCCAGGCAGAGAGCTTGGGCAGCCTCAGCCACTGGCCTCTGGGCACCATATCCCTATTTTTCAGCTTATTTGAAGTCCTGCCCCCTCCTCACTGGAGCCTCAATCTCTCCTGCTTGGGCTGGACCCTCAATTGGGGCAGGTGAAGCCAGAAGACGGCCCCCCGGGCGGGGGCACTGGAGTGGAACTCCTCACCACACTCCAGGCTCCGGCCACCCTCTCCCCTTCTGGACACAAAGAGGCCTCAGCACCAAAGAAGGACAGACCCCGCTGGCCCTCTGTGACCTGCCCAGCCTCCAGTGACACAGAGCCCCCTGGTGGGATTTGGCTGTGGGGGTGGGGGAGTCTGGAAGCTTCTGGGAATCATGCTGGTGTCCCAGGTGCCACAGGTGTTAGCCGCTGGGCCGTGGGGGGAGTGGCTTGGCGGGACCTGGTGTGAGAGCTGGCGAGGTGGCACCGGGAAGGGGCTTGGGGTCTGCGGTGCCTCGGCTCTGGGCTCAGCCAGCCGAGAGGCAGAGGGAGGCCAGCAGGAAGAGGTGGCCACGTCCAATGTGCTTTGGCTTCTCCCCAGTGAGCTGCACCCTCTCTGAGCTGGGTCTTTCGTCTTTTTGTTTTGGTCTCCAAAGTAGATGCTAATGTTTGGCTGCGGAGGGTGCGGGGCTGAAGATAGCAAGGGGGGGCGTCGTCCCCAGGTGCCACCTCCCAGCGCGGAGGTCAGGAGGGCACAAGGGGAGCGCAGCCCATACACACGCAGGATTCCCACTCTACGCCACTGCTTGGTAGCCTTGTGGAATAAATTATTTTTGTGAAGGCAAGCATCAGTGTGTTCTTGACTTGCTACCTGGAGATGTGATGTCCAGGTCTGGACAGAATGCACAGGGACCAGCCCCAGCCAGGAATGCACACTCCCCCAGGCATCCTCCCGACACCCCAGAGCTCTCCAGGCCCCAAGCCCCTGCAGTCCCCTTGTGCACAGGGGACAGGCTGCTCTGGATGTGGAGCCCCCTGCCGCCTCCTGCTTTCTCAGGCCCGCTGGAGCGCCCGCCTGGCCCCCTCAGCTCCTGCTGTAGGGAGGGGCCTCATTTGCCAGAGCGCCCACCCCACCGGGAGGAGCCCGCCAGGATTAGAGAGCCTGCCCCTAATCCAGCCTGCGGGTTTACAAGGATCAGAGCAGCTGATAATGAACCTCATTAAGGGGGAGCAGGAACCTCAATCCGATTTGGGGGTCTTTGACATCTTTGCTCTGCTCAGATGGCCTGGGCACGGGGTGGAGCAGGTGGGATGCTGAGGACCCTCCCTCTAACTCGGGCAGGGGGGGGGGCTCGGGGCAGCGGGGGACAGCCCTCCCCTGGGACCAGCCTGTCCCATTGACCTGTTTAGCTCTGCTCCTCAGCATGAGCTCAGCCTGGAGAGGCCTCTCTGTGCTCCAGCTCCGGCACCCCCCTTCCCCTTTGCTCCCCTCCCCTTCCCTTCCCCCTGCTCTGGCTCTGGCCCCCAAGAGGGTGAGAGAGGCTGCAGGTCCGGTGCCCAGTGTGCCCACCAAGGGCACTGAGTACCCCGCTCCCACCGCCGCGCTCCCCATGCAATGTCAAGAGCGGAAGGTTTCTGTCCGCAAGCTCTGTGGCTCCAGTGACCATATTTTCTAAAACTGAACTTAGGGATCTGGAATGAGGGCTATGCTGGAACCCCTCTCGGGGCAGCCCGGGCTGCAGCGTCTACCCACGGCACCTGGGCCACAGAGTGGGCGTGGGTTTCCATCCTCACAGCTGTCCCTGCAGCAGAGCCTCTTTCTGCCCTGTCCCAGCCCCTCTGATTGATACACGGTGGGCCTTGGTGGCAGGACGCTGCCTTTCACCTTGATTTCCCCAGGGTTCCAGTCGGCAGCGCCAGTAACCAGCTTCGCCCACCAGCTGTCCCCCCCCCCACCCAGGCTGCCAGGCTGGAGGAGCTGGGGCTCGCTGAGCCTGGACACCTTTCTAGGTGGCTTCTCTGCACCTTGGGAGGCTCCTGTGGCAGGACAGGGTCCCCAGGGGAGCCCTGCAAAGCGAGGGCTCCTTGTTTGGGGCCAGAGAAACTCACCTCTGTCAGCATGTCACCTACTGAGGGTTCAGGAGCGCTGTCCTCAAAGAGACAGCGGAGCTGCACTGGGAAAGAACAGTAGGTGTTGGCCCGGCACGGTGGCTCACGCTTGTAATCCTAGCACTCTGGGAGGCCGAGGCGGGAGGCTTGCTCGAGGTCAGGAGTTCAAAACCAGCCTGAGCAAGAGCAAGAGAAAGAAATTAATTGGCCAACTAAAAATATACATAGAACTCGGAAGGCTGAGGCACTAGGATTGCTTATAGGATTGCTTGAGCCCAGGAGTTTGAGGTTGCTGTGAGCTAGGATGATGCCACAGCACTCTAGCCTGGGCAACAGAATGAGACCCTGTCTCAAAAAAATAAATAAATAAATAAATAAATAATACACTGAACAGAGAGAATATGAACACACAAAGGGAGCAAAAACTCCAACCTCCGGACCTCTTCCTGGTAGCCCGCCATTCATTTCAGTTTCCTGTCTTAACACACACCAACTCAAGGGGCCCCATTGTGCTTGGGGGGTGCTATTTACACAGAATATTCTGGGGAGGGTGTCCCTGGAGTCGTGCCTCCAGGTGGCAAGCCCTGAGCCTCCCCAGCAGGTGCCACTGCCAAGAGTTTAACTGAGGCGTTGCATGGAAAAACTGCCTCCCCCAATCTGCCACCGTGGTGGTGATGCCTTCATGAGATGGGGCTCCTGAAGAGCCTTCGATGTTGTTTCTATCTCAGAAATGTTTATACTATTACAGGATTAATATTTACCGTGTATTGAAGAAACTGAGGCTTAAAGTGATTAGGAAATATGCTGTTGGCTGGGTGTGGTGGCTCACACCTATAATCCTAGCACTCTGGAAGGCTGAGGTCAGGGGATTGCTTGAGTTCAGGAGTTCAAGACCAGCCTGAGCAAGAGCAAGACAAAAAACAGAAAAATAAAAATTAGCCAGGCATGGTAGGGGCTTGCACCTGTAATCCCAGCTACTAGGGAGGCTGAGACAGAAGGATCATTGGAGCCCAGGAGTTTGAGGTTGCAGTGAGCTATGATGATGGCACTGCACTCTAGCCAGGGCTATAGAGCAAGACCCTGTCTCAAAAAACAAACAAAAACCCCCCAAAAACCAAAAATGAAATATCCTGTCCCCTTTTCCCCCACCAAAATAAATACATTTGCCTTAAGCTGAGGCAGGAGGACCATTTAAGGCCAGGACTCCAAGACCAGCCTGGGCAACATATTGACACCTCCATCTCTACAAAAACAAAAAAGTAAAAAATTAGCGAAGTGTGGTGGCACACACCTGTAGTCACAT